CGATTGACAAAGTCCACAATGCGCTTAAGGATATGAAGCCGTTTAAGGCGCCTGGGCCAGATGGTTTTCGGGCTGGTTTTTATCAGCACATGTGGGACAAAATAGGTGAAGACATGTTTAGGCTGGTGAGGGAGGCCTTCATGACAGGGACAATTCCAGCAGATATAAACGATACCCTTATTGCTTTGATCCCCAAAGTACGATCCCCGGATAACATCAAACAATTTAGACCTATTAGTCTTTGCAACGTCAGTTGCAAGATCATCACCAAGACGATAACAAACAGACTGAAATGCATCATTCCCAAGCTTATGGGGCCTTTTCAGAGCTCTTTTGTTCCTGGACGCCAGATTTCGGATAATGTCCTTATTTTTCAGGAAGTTATGCATACCATGCGAGAAGAGCGAGGCACGAAGGGATACATGACGATCAAACATGACCTTGAGAAAGCCTATGACCGCCTGTCTTGGAGTTTCATTCAGGACACTCTGGAAAAAACGGGTTTTACAGCTATGATAAGGGACCTCATGATGAATTGTATTAAAACTTCCAGGTTGTCTGTCATCTGGAACGGGGAACATCTGGAGCCCTTTCACCCTGAACGGGGCATTAGGCAGAGGGCGATGCTATGTCACCGGCAATCTTCGTGTTGTGCATGGAAAAACTGAGTCGATCTATTGCCTCCGAAGCCACTAAGAACATTTGGAAAGGTATAAAACTTGCACCTAATGGTCCGATTCTAACTCGTTTATATTTTACAGATGACACGGTCCTTTTCACGGAGGCGTCAGACGAACAGGTAGAGGTAGTTAAACAGTGCTTGGACCGCTTCTGTAAGGCATCGGGGCAGAAGATCAGAGTAAGTCCCAGGTTTTCTTCTCAAAGAACATGGACTCGGGGCACGCGGACATCATTGCAAGTCGCCCGCAAATCTCTTGAACAAATGACCTGGGCAAGTACTTGGGGGTACTTGCCCTTCACGGCCGAGTTACTAACGCCACTTATTCAGATTTACTTGACAGGATTTCAGGGCGCCTTGATGGCTAGAAGGCGAAATCAGTTCTGAACGCCATACCTGTCTACACCATGCAAACGACGACCCTCCCTAAAGGTATTTGCTTTGAAATAGAGAAAAGGACGAGGAAGTTTATCTGGGGTGCCAAAGGAACGGAGAACAAGTTAAGTTTAGCAAATTTGGAGCTGGTCACTGCTAACAAGGATGTTGGAGGCCTGGGTGTTAAGCGTCTTCATGAGATGAATGCAGCATATATGGCTAAACTGGGTTGGAGGCTAAAGGTGGAGGCTGATAGCCTATGGGTACGGACCTTTACCACGAAATACAACAGAATGGGAGGGATTCAGAGTGAGGTGTCTGGCAGACGCAGTCTCTCGAACGCTTGGCGAGGCATATCAACGGCTTGGGGCCTTATGGAAAAGGGTCTGACACGGGATATTTGAAACGGGAAATTGACTAAGTTCTGGATGGACGCATGGATCACGCCAGAGCCTCTTTACAACCAGCTCACCTCACCTCTAGCCCTCCCAATTCTATATGCAAATGTAAGGGACTTTTGGGATGAGCAACGAGGATGGAAATGGGAAATCCTGGAAAACAAACTGCCAATGGAAGCAAAAGAGAGACTGATGAGCTTCATCCTAACGGAAGAGCACTTGCCGGACGGGATAGGATGGGGACCGGACTTCAGCGAGAAATTCACTATCCGTTCGGCGTACAACATGGTGGTGAACAGTTTGTCCAACGCTGACGATGGCCAATGGCGAAGGATTTGGAACCTACGGGTTCTGGCGAAGATAAACATGTTTATTTGGCTCATCCGTCACGGGAAGATCATCACCAATGCAGAGAGAACAAGACGCAGGTTAACGACCATGGTTGCAAAAATCGCGCCTAGGCGCTAGGCGACTGCTGGCCGCTGCGAGGAAGGCCGGAATCGGCCTCCTACGTGACCGGCCGGCTAGGCGGCCGCCTAGCTGGCTGAACTGGCGCTGCAATTGTTTTTTTTTTTTTTTTTTTTTTTTTTTTTTTTTTTTTTTTTTTTTTTTTTTTTTTTTTTTGCGTTTTCAAGTGGGAAAAGTTCAGGAAGGCATAACTTTTGACTCGGTTGTCCGTTTTGGACAATTTTTTTTTTCAAATCGCGTATTTTTTCGAGATCTATCCACCGCAAATAGCTGAAGGCGGTTTGGTCCACTAATTTCTCCAAAAATGCTTCTTTTGCTCTTAATTTTAGTTTTTTATGTATTTAGATTGTTTCAACAATCTTTTGAACACTTTTACAATCACTTACATAAATATTTTGTAAGAAATAACTATGGAAACCTTATATTTTATTACTAAATTTTGAAAATTTTTAATTTTATTTTTAATTAAAAAAAAATCGACGCCTAGGCGCCAAGTGGCGCCTAGGGGGTGCCTAACGTTTTTTGCAACATTGTTAACGACTAACACATGTTGTTTACGTTGTGCAGGTAAGACAGAGGACCTTGACCACCTCTTCAGACTTTGCCCCGCGCCCGAGTGCATTTGGGAGACGGCCCTCCAATAGTGCTTGAATGCTCGCCTGCGATCCTTGGCTTGGAGTGACTGGTTAGAGACAGACCTGAAAGGAGAAGCAAGGTATGGCTTTGGTGATGACTGGCCAGAAAGGTTTTGCACACGACTCTGGTGGATTTGGCGGTAGCGCAACGATGAAATCTTCAGAGAACATACCATAGCAATAGGACATCAAGTGAAGTGGCTCAAGCACTACGATGCAGAGATCAAGGCAGCTTTTGCCAGGCGCACGTCTCAAGCTAAGGGGTACAGCTCACCTGCAGATGTTCGAGTGGGATGGAGGAAGCCAGATAATGGTTGGTTGAAGCTAAACACTAATGGCTGTTGCAAAGGGAATGGCGCAACTGGTTGCAGGGGCCTGCTAAGGGATTCGAACGGGAATTGGTGTCGTGGTTTCACTCTCAATATCGGACGTTGCCAAGCCATGGAAGCAGAAGCTTGGGGGATTTTTTGCAAGGTTTGTACATGGCGGTTGATTATAACGCTACGAGACTAGTGGTGGAATGCGATTTGAGGAGGATTGTTGAAACTTTGCGCCGGCCAATGGACTACCATGTGAATTCCAATCATGTTATTAGGCAGTGCTGGCAAGTGGCTGAGCAAATCCCTGAGGTGGTTTACGCGCATGTCTTCAAAGAAGGAAATAAGGCAGCTGATAGTCTAGCTACGGCAATGCTCTCACATCCAATTGGCCTTCCGTTCTAGCTAACACACCCCAGGAGTTAAAGGAAGTAATCCGGCTTGACAAGTTGGGCGCGAACGTTTCCAGACGAGTCCCCAGAGATATAACGGGGGTGCTTGGTCTAATCTATCTGTAATATCTGGTTAATATGATTATGCCAGCATCCTTGATTGGGATGAGACTCGAACCTATAAATTTTCGTTTAGAATGGTAATAGTGATGTCATTAGACCACAAGGTATTAAACAAAGTAGCATTCCACCCATGCGATACACGAATAAAGTTTATAAAATGTATATAATGCAACACAAATAAACATATATATATATATATATATATATATATATATATATATATATATATATATATATATATATATATATATATATATATATATATATATATATATATGAGGGTTCCAATAAGAACACTTGTTTAGGTGAGAACGTGATAACAAATCGTGTGCATTCATCTAATATATTTAATGGTCGAGACTAAGTGTGTGCGAATGCGGATTAAATGTGTGCAAACGCATTTGAACACACTTAATCGTGTTTGCACACATTTAATCCGCGTTCACATACACTTAATCTAGACCATTGAAATTAATTAGATAGATGCACACGATTTGTTCTCACATTTTCACCTAGACAAGTGTTATCATATGACCATATATATATATATATATATATATATATATATATATATATATATATATATATATATATATATATATATATATATATATATATATATATATATAAAATCTACACGATGTCATCTTCTCCAGTAAACCATCTCTGATCTATTGTATTTGCATTTTGTTCAAATAATGGAAGACACAAAATTGTCCCCTAAAAGACAAAACAGTAAACACTGAAAACACAAAAATATGTTCTAAAATGCTCAACAATTTAGCACAATCACAAGAATGAAAGCATATGCAATTCTTCAACAAAAACACAAATGTCACCAATTTCTCTCTCTTTTTTCCTTTCACTCTCTTTTTTTTCAACAACCAATTAAACATTCACCAATCCAAATTCCAATTCAAGAATAAGCCACTCATGATATATGGGACAAAAATTTCATCACAGACATTCCTCATATATTCATGGCTTCCCAAAGATGAACAAGCCTTCATGGCTTCATTCAAATTAACAAATCACCCGGCCTGAGCATTCAAGTAAACCAAATTCTCAAAAACATGCTTCCAATAACTTCACAACAAGAGTTCTATCATTCACAAGCCAAACCAAGCAATCAAAATTTCACAAATTCACAATCAATTTCATCATTCAATTCAATTTGAACAAACCCAATTGAAATTTTCCCAATTCTAACCTAGGACATCAAGCTCATTCAATCTCAAAGATAAATCATGTAATCCACAAATTGAAACCATACAAATGTTCTTCAAACTCAAAGAAAGCATTATCATCACACAAGAGTCATCATGTTTCAACAAATCAAGCATTCCCCAAATTGGATGTTTAAGAGAGAGAAAACCTTGAAAATATATGCTTAAAGATGTAGAGATGGAAGTTCTTACCTTAAATTGATGAAAACTTGAACATATTTTGCCTTAATGATTCAAAAAGTTGGATGGAAGATAAGTTTGGGAGTGAAAGAAAATAAGGGAGGGAAGTGTTTTAAATAGGAAAAATCCCACTAGGCTCTTTACGATCTTCCCCACGATCGTGACCAAGAAACTGCAGCTACCACGAACCTTATTAACTAAAGTTTCTGTTTTTAAAAAGGCAAGAAATTAGTAGAGAGCAACAATCTTATTAACTAAAGTTTCCGCATATTTGTTCAAAGTAGAAAACATACTTAGATATACATATATATTTTAAAAGATTATATATAGAACAAAAGGTAACTACACTACTTGCTCCCTATATATGCACCAGCAGTGACAGTGTTATACATATAACCCTTCAAACTATATGTGTATATATATGTATATATATATATAATTACATATATAGTTAGCCTTGTAGGTGGCTAAGCATCCACTGGGGCATGGCACTGGTGTTGTTCTGCTGCTGACGCTGAGTTCCTTCTGTTTCTCCATACTCTCCTTCACCCTGATATTCTCCTTCACTGCAAATATATATAATTTTCATTTATTCCGTACAAACCGAAGATTTTCAGTACGGAATTGAAGTATGTGCTCCATCTCAACTAACATAGTACCTGCTGAGGTGCACGAGTGGCGGCGGCACAACATAGGAGGAATTTATGTCGTCGTTAGGCTGCTCCCACTGAACCTCCTGCTGCTGCTGCTGCTGAGTAGCCATCTCTTTCTCCCTCTCCTTGATCTGTGTATTCATGGGGGGTTATTATATATGAGCAATATGGTAAGAGATCACTACTGGAAATTATAGAATTTCCGACCACCTGAAAGTGATCTTAAACCAAGTTGAAACCAAAAAGTGGTTGGAAATAGCAACAAAGGTTTTTCCGGATACTAAAAGGGATCGAAACAAGATTTTCGACTTGATTTAAGATCACTTTCAGGTGGTCGGAAATTTCATAATTTCCAATAGTGGATATAAAAGTGCAGCATTTTAATTTGAGTGATTTCAGAGAGAGAAATTTGTTGGGATCAAGCCCTTACCACTTCGGCCAAACTTTTGGCGTAAGTGGTAAGCACTTGATCCTAATCAGGAATATCAGGGTCGGGTCACGAGTTCGAGTCCCAGCAATAACGTTTAGAGGGAGAAAATGTGTGGCATTCGCTATATAAGTTATAGCTTTTGACCTTAGTGGTAAACGTTTGATCGTAACAGAATTGAATTATATTATTAATGACTTGCCTTCTTAGAAAGCTGATTATTTTGGTCCTGCAATGCTTTGTCCTGCAAACATGAAACACCACAGCACATGAGGAATTAATCCAAAATATATATATTATTTTGTTGTATATATAAAGGGATGTGGATCCCATGCAGGGAAAAAGTTGCATATATTATTGTCACCTTTTTCTGGAGCACAGAAATGGATTCATACATGAGTTGATTCTACAAGGGAAACACGCACGTACCACATCAGTTAACCTTCCTACCAACCAAACTAATTAACAATATAATATGGAAGAATTCTCATAAAAATTTAAGGGAATTACTATATATAGATAGATAGATATGTCATTTTTTAATTTACCTTTTTTGACCGAATATTTTTGAGTGCTGAATCAAGTTGGCGCTCCAGATTCTGAAGCTCTTTGAGGCTTAAAGAATCTAGGTCTTCTCCCTCATAATGCCTGCACATCCATCAGATCAGAGGTCACACACACTTAGCTTGTTATCAGTAGTAATCACCGTTTTGGTCCCTCGACTACTATACCGTAATTATCAAATTAGTCATCGACTATTAATTTTGACCAATTAAATCCTCAATGATTTCAATTCGTAACTGATTTGGTCTTCCATAATTACCAAATTGGTCCTCAATTAGTTTGACAGATGACCAAATCAGTTACGGAATCAATAATTAAGGGTTTAATTGATCAAAATTGATAGTAGAGGACCAATTAAATAATTACAGCATAATTGAGGGACCAAAACGGGATCAAAATTGATAGTTGAGGACCAATTGAATAATTATGGTATAATCGAAAGACCAAATCAGTCATTAATTCCTTGTTATCACGGCTAAATTCTCAGGACTCGGGATTGGAGGCCACCAAAACATAATACACACACACACACACACACATATATATATATATATATACACATCAACTTACCTTTGGTTTCTTTGTAGAACCTCCATCCTAGCCTTGAGCTTTGCATGCTCCAGAGTCCAACTTCCCTGAAAAAAAAAACGTATATATATGAATTTCATATACTACCTAATAATTATTAAGACTGAGCTGTGAATTGAAACAAATTAAAATTTAATAATTTGGCATACTAACTTGTGAGTTTTGATCTGTAGAATTCAGTTGCCTCTCTGCATACGAGTATCTTTCATATCGTTCAAGAATCTTTTCCATGCTAATAATTAAATAAAAATTCAAAATGGTTAGGGAATTTTGCAACATAAATGGATTATGTTATAACCCCACTAATATAATTAAAATCTGATTTTATATATGCAATTCAAAATTATGGAATATATGTAGGAGCTTTGAAACTCTGAAAATTAAAGTATTTATACAAGTGAAAAAGCTCATCAGTGAATATCCTCTTACAAAATAAATAAAACCTTATTCTACAACCTACACAGCACAAATTCCAATCCCATTTTGATAGGTTAATAACTACCCTGTAAGCTATTTACTGAGCATCATTTAGTAAAAAATAAATATATTTACACATTATTTTAGTTCTATTCAACCTATGAGCATCTATTTGGAATGGTAACCAAAATGCTATCACGCGGATAGATGACTATTAAGCATAATATATATAAAATAATAAATGGACAATTTCAATATTCGTTTGAAGAATACATCCTTTAATTTGACATTAAAACAAGGGAAATGTTATTAGTGCAAAAATTTTAATTTAAATGAGACACATCTTTTAACTTGGTATCAAAATAAATGAAAAATTATAACTTTGAAAAGCTAAACTTTTAGAATTTTAGCTGAGGCAAAACACATTTTAAAATTATTTTTAGTTTACATTTCATCACTCTTTATTTCATTTGATTGACTATGAAGGTTCTGTCTCGATTTGTATGTTATAAATACTGTCAATTGATCAAATTAAACTTTTTTCACTTTAATAATTTCATATAAATTTAAATTCAACCTTTTATGCTTTAATAAAACTTTTTAATATGGTTTATAAATATATAGAGTTTATCACTAAAAGTAAATTAAACATTAAAAAACCAAGATTATGATCAACAAGGCCAAGTGGGATTGATCCAAACAGGCCAAATTTAAGAACATTGTAACGAAAACTGACACTTTTACCCATCAATTAGGGGCGAGTATGGATCTACCAAACTCATCCCAATCCATCAAATATGTCAAATTTGCTCACATCCCATCTTCATTCACTTGAAGTAGATGTGATGCCACCACTAGTGAATTGGACGCAGATATGAGTCATATGACATCAAAATTCATTATATACAATCCGTTATGTTATACACACACATATATATATATGTATGTATGTATAATTATATATATATATATATATATGGTCAGTTTTCCGTGCAAACAACGCTTTCGGTGTGGCCGTGTGATTACTCACCATTAGTTACGCATAAATGCACTATAAAGTGTTCAAAAATGCACCATTAGGTGTGTTGGATTTTGTATTGCATTTATGCATTTCATTCTGATGCATTTTCGAACATTGTGTGGTGTACTTATGTATACCCAATGGTGCAATTTGCACTGGCCGCACAGAGAGTCCTGTTCGCATTTGATCCTATATATAAGGGCTTGATCAAATGAGGATAAGACCCTCTTGTAAAGAGTGAAGATAGATCTCATCTGCCATTTGTGTTCATCAATAGTCAGTGGCGGATCCAGAAAATAATGTGAGTGGGGACGTACTTAACTTGAGATCTCACTTCTAAGAAAAGCTAAAACATATTAAATGTTACAGGTGAGTTTTGAACCTTAAACACTCCATTTTCATATTAAAGATTCAACCCATTGATCTACTAAACACTTCAGTGATTTATCTATGTACTTATATATTAGTAGAGAGGGTTGAGGGGGGCAATGGCCCCCACTGCCCCCACTGTGGCTCCGCCACTGTCAATAGTTGAGAGTTTCAGTAAAAAGAAACATTAATTTTATAATTATTGAAAATTTTCAGTATTATAAAAAGAATCACATTTTTATGTTATTTTCAACAACCATAAACCGTTGATCTACCTAAATGAATGGATTATATTAGTCATCACTTTTTAAGTGGGAGCATATTCTCACATTAACCTTACTCTACACACTACACAAACACACTACCTAGTAGCCCACTTTTAGTGCCTTATGCAACCCAAATCTAAAATTATAATTCAATTTAATTTTTAATTTTTCTACACTTAGACTAAGGTTTTAAGTCTCTCTTTCTAGATTGTTGTTTTCGATTTGCTGCCTTCTTTGTTCTTAAAGTCAGGTTTGTTCTTTATTATTATTATTTTTTTTATGGTGTCACACTCACAAGTTCAAAACTAAGTTGAAAATGAATGAAGAATTGAAAATGAATGAAGATTTGTAATTTAAATTTGTTTGAACTTTAAATTAATTATTTGTATTTTAACAAAGAAAATTGAATAGTTGATTTTTTTTTTAAGGGGGTGCTTGAAAAATTGTGATTTAAATTTTTGAAAACTTAAAATTTTATATTGCAATTTATTTTATTTTTAAAAATTAGAATTTGGCATGAATTAGATCCACACCCTAACGGATGTTGATGCAAATGAGATTTTTAAAATCTATCTTTAGCGGATTGGATGTGAAATCAACCCAAATCATCTTTCAATCCGTTGTGTGCTCACCTAGTGTCAACTATTGTGATATAATTAATTCTCTCAAATATTATTATAGTGGCGGGCTATTTTATCCAAGTCTATTTACTATTTACTATTTACGATTGACATCCAAAATTGTTAAAAAAAAATGACAATATTAATTAAATCTTTCAACGTCATCATTTTGAAACGCAGGAAATAAATAAGATAATTTTTCAATTCTCATCCAAGAACGAGAATTGAAAGAAATTATCCTGTCTATTTTGTATACTTAATAAAACGAAAATGACATTAAAAATTTTCAACCCTCATTTTTTTAGAATTTTAGATTTCTACTGTGAATAGTTAGTGAATTTCGATTAATAAAAATATATAGTTTAGAGATAATTGTGGAGAAAAATAGATGCACACAGGGCCGGATTTTAGGCTGTGCAAGCTGGGCTACCGCACAGGGCCCCCAATTTTAGAGGGGCCCCAAATTTTATAGGTCCAATATTTAATTTTTACCTAGTTAGTTTAGAAATAAAAATTAAGAGTTTTCAATTAAACTTAAAAGGTTCTATGAAGAGATGGTAAAAATGTATATTTATTGTATTTTAACTTGGAGGTCAAAGGTTCGAAACTTGCATGTATTGATTTTAAAAATTGTGATTTTGGTAGGGCCACATTTATTTACCAGAACAGGGCCACCAAAATTTAAAATACGGCCCTGGATGCACATATAATTGATGGATAAGTATAAGCTATATATAACACCCTAAGTTGAAGAAAGAGTGGCATTTTTTCCTTCCTCTAACATATCAAATCTGCAACTATTGTTTTCTTATGGAAATATTAAGATTTTCGACATCGTATATGTCGCCCAACTAGGTAGCGGTATTGATCATATGATTGAATGAGTTAGCTATCAAACTGATAAAAGAATAAACCCCCCATTTTCTTGGAATCTCAAGAAACAAATCGAAACAAGAAGAAGAAATCAAGATTGGAATAGTGGGTTTCCAGGCAAAAACAGTATGTATACGCAGATTGAAAAGTAGAAGAAAAAAGGTCGTACCAAGATTCAGTGGCGTACTCGAAGAGCTTTCCTTTGGTGGAGAAGACGATGAGTGCAACCTCGGCATCGCAGAGGACGGAAATCTCGTGGGCTTTCTTGAGCAAGCCAGTACGGCGTTTGGAGAAGGTGACTTGCCGGTTTATCTTGTTCTCTATTCTCTTCAGTTGCACCCTCCCTCTCCCCATTCTTTTTCAAACTCCGATCCGATCCGATCCTCACAGTTTACTGCTACTACTACTACTTCATGGAGGAGGAGAAAGCGGTTGTGAACTGGTGCACATATATATAGACGCGGGTGGCGGTTTTGGGTGGGGGATAGGCGGTATTGGGAATACCGGAGTGGTTTCGTCGGATTTGTTTTCGATCGTTCATTGGCTGGAGGGCTGCGGGGGTCGTTAGTGTCCTTCTTGAATCCACAAGTTTTAGAGAGTTGCGTCTTGGAAGGGTCCCGGCGAGGATTACTTTTATCCAGATGTGACCACCCTCCACTTATCATTTTTGGTTTATCACGAACCCATATTACCATTTTGTGTTTTTTTAACTAGTAATTCACCCGCGCGATGCACAAAATAATTATGTTATTATAAATATAAATAAAAAATAGAAAAACTAAAATATTTTAAATTATTTAATATAATAATATTTTTTAGCTTCCATTGGTCAAATATTTATTATTTTTATAGAATACAAAATTACAATTAAAATTAAAATTATAATTTTGTATGGTTAATATAATCTCTAATTATGTGCATATTCAAATAAACTTATAGAGATAATTTACATAATTACATTGATTTATTCTTAATTGTATTTCATCAATATTATAATTTTCACAATACAAATAATAACTAAGATAATTACATTTGGAAAGCAAATTTCAAATTTTGTATGTGTAAATTTAAACTCTAATTGAACATATTTTTTATATGATTATATAATATATAGCTATTTTATTTTTCAAAAGTATATTTTTTATATGATTATATAATATATAGCTGTTTTATATTTTAAATGTTGTGCTTTTTTTTTTTTAATAATAAAGGATGTTGTGGCATTAATTGTAACATTAATTTTTTCCCAAACCATATAGCTTTATTATATAAAGGATTTTACCGCCCAATATCCAGATTCCATCGTTATGCAAGGTGGACACGATTCTATGTTCATAATTACTAAACTATATGTTCATAATTATAAAACTATATATTCATAATTATTGAATTTCATATTTATAATTATTGAACTCTTTGTTCATAATTATAAAGTTATATATTCATAATTTCTGAACTTTATATTCATAATTATTGAATCTCTATATTCATAATTACAGAACTATATGTTCATAATTATGTTCATAATTATAGAACTATATATTCATAATTTTTGAACTATACATTCATAATTACGAACAGTTTTGGAACCGTGTGTCCACCTTGCAAGGTGGACACCGTTCCACAACATAATTTTCCCTTTGGATTTTGGAAGGTCAAATTATACACCGCTGTTGTGGTCCTTGTGGATCACAGTCCAAAATAATGTTGTTGAATTTTATAAGTTAGAATAATGTACATTATGAGTTAGAATAATGTATTTTATGTGTTAGAACAATGTACATTATATATGTTAGAATAATCAAACTTTTAGGGTAAGATAATGTACATTCATGCTTTAGAATAATGTACATTATACTTTAGAATAATGTACATTATGTTTTGAAATAATATACATTATGAGTTATAA